GCTATCCGTGGGCCTGAAGCAATTCGCACTCCCTCAGAGTCCACTGCCCCCGGGCCCTGCGCCGCGTGGCAGCTCCCCTTGCCACCTGAAGTAGCAACATGGCAAAGGGGACATACGAACGGGGGTGAAGAGACTGAGTCTTTAGCTTGGGGTTGCTGTGCGACTTGTGCACAGCAGTTTAGTAGTCCTTAAGATGGGCCTGTGTATGTAGTGGTCCTAATTGGTCACAGTGAGAACAGTGTGAGAATGCTATTATAAATCCCAAATGGGGAAAAGCCAAGCGGCTGTGAGTTTGCAGAAAGTGAAATTCATGTGAAGTGTAAGTAATGAGGCAGGGAAGAGAGACTTTAACAGGGCTGCTTGAACGGTCCTCCCAAAGGACCAGTAATATTCCAAGTTAAACACTGAAGTTTGCCAGGATACATACAGTACAATATACTAGGTAAGTATAGTATTATTAACTGATAGTGACAAAAGAAGGGGAAATAAATAAAAGGATGAGTTTAATCTAGCGGGGGATCCTGTTAGAGCAAAATTATGCTTAAGACTGAAGGACTACTCAGTGCAATTTACTGCATTGAGCTGGCTGACATCTCTATTAGAGCTAAAAAGACATCAAATAAGGTAATGAAATTGATGGGAAACAGATAGGAACTTCATGGTCCAAAGTGATAAAACACTTTGTGATGGAAAGATTTGAGGATCAGGATTTGACAACTTGGTTACTTAGTGTTTAAGGGAAAAGACACAATTCTTTGTGTCTAGAATAAGTCACAATTGGGAACTGGCAGCAAAGAGTGATTCTGCCTGGAATGCACATGTGCACCTGGGTGTAATAGAGCCCAAGATCACTGCTACCCAGAACACTTTCACTACAAGAAGCTGCTAGAATTAGCTTTGTGCATAGATTGGGAAGGGTGACTTTAATTTTCTTATGATTTTAAAAATATTTAATTATTTTTAAAATTTCCTGCTTGCTCTGTTTTTTTTTTTGTTTGTTTTTTTCCTACCACCCTTTTTGCTACTTTGTTTCTCCTTATGGATGTAAATATGTAAATATGGATATTAAAAATGTTCTGTAAATATGCAAGATGTTAATTAGCAATTTTGGTAGTTTTCTGTTTGTTCGTTTTTTGAACACTGGAGAACCCCTGTAATGTCATCTGTTTCTCTCACATCTGGTTAGAAAAACTAGCTGCGAGCACAAACTGGAGAGAGAAAGTCATCTGGTGTTGAAGACTGGGTTGGAAAGAGGAGTTCCAGCTTGGAATGGAAAAGAGTAGTCCCAGAACAAGTTGCTTCAGTAAGTTACAGAATTTAGGCTATTCAAAATGGCCTCACAGATTTTAGTTCTCAGAGAGGGAGTCTGATGCGAACGTTACAAACTAGGTGCTTTTCTAGAGCACCCAGCCACAGCAAAACCCTAGTTTTGATAGGAGCCACAGATATAACATAAAATTACATGCTTAGCATAAATGGAAGTTTTAAAATAATGATTCTTATGGGATCTTGAGTACTGTTTCAGTTTCTTCACAGTCTAGCAGTCTGTCTTGCTGTTAATTCAGGAAAAGAGAGATTGCTTTTGATTTTATTCTTACTGTTGTCACCAAAGACCAGACACTGCAATTGTTTATGCAAGTTACTGTCCAGTTCTAAGAGTACACCTTACAGCTTTTGTATTTTATAATCATTAAATGAGTCAACTATTCAGTATTTATTCCTGGAAAGCAATGATGTTAAGCTATTGCATCTCTGAGCTGACCATTATATCCCAGTCAATTAGTGTCCATGTGTGTAGGCATGCACATGTACGTATGTTTTCTTCACTTTAAGAAGCTAAATAGAGAATGCTATATAGAGGATGTGTTGCGAGTCAATTTACAGGTACTATTTTCATTCTGTCATTCAGTGTTTGGTACTAAGGGCTACTGGATATATTTATTTGACCTTTTTTTTTTTTTACTGCTTTGATTGAGTTTGTAAAAAAAATGCTCACAGAATTACAGAAATTATGTTTTAATTACCCTAATAACAGTGTTTCACAGAATGAACTAGAACGTGAGTCCAGCAAACAGAATTACAGATGAGTCAGTTATTAGTCTATAACTAAATAATGTGATTTCCACTTAGGTAGGAATAAAGTCTATTTCATAGGCTGACTTTTGATTTCACTCTCAGAGACTAGCCTAATGACTCTCCTATGGGATTTGCATTGTCCTCCAGCTCCTATCCTCCCCCTAAATCACTAACCTTTTTTTTTTTTCAATCTCTGCGGTTAAAAGGTTTTAGCAGCACCTCGCTTCTGAAATGTGAATATTTTTATGAAGGTATATCTTTAGGTCATTCTAACTTAAACTGTGAGAAGCATGTTTCAATCAAAGTCACTATCCTATTCTCTGATACAAAATATTTTTTATTAAACATGCAATCCTCCTTTGCTGCTGTTCAACCAAAAGGGTATAAGTATTGCATGTACGCAATTTTACATGACTTACAGAGTGGTTTTGTTCAATTTATGCAAATTGCTATGTGGGTGCTTATTTCTTACTTTTGATCTGTTTTATAGGAATGTATTTTGGTTAGAATAATACATATTCACACATACCTTTGAAGCAATTGGAGATGGAAGTGATGCTTTGTACATATGTGTAGGTGGGTGAGGCCTCTATTCTGCCAAAGAACATGAAGGTGAACAAACAATCAGTAGATGTTTCTAGCCTTTGCAGATGTCCTCCTTCCAGTAACTAAACATTTTCCCAAGTTTTCAGACAGTATAAACTTATTTGAAGTTTTATTACGTACAATGAGCAGAATGAAAGGAACTCATAACCAGCAGCATTAATAAAAATCAACTGTCCTACATTAAGAAGGTCTAATCTATAAATTTAATTAACTCCTAAAATATTCACTCCCTCAGCCTGGGAAAATAAGTAAAAAAAAAAAAAAAATACATATAGACTTTCCTACCTAGTGATGGAGAGCTTGAGTAGTCAGTGGAAGCACTTTGCAGTGAAAAAAAATTATCAGGTTGAAGAAGCAGGAATATTTTTCACCACCCAATATAAGTAACTAGCATGAAAATTCGGTATACGGCAGGGCATTTCTTTTGCCTACGTACTCATTACTTAGCTGTTTCCTCAGCCCAAGCATTTGCAGATTTAAGCAGCCTATGTTTACATGCTTTTGTCAACTTTTAACTTTGACATGCATCTTTTTCAGCCTACACGTACCAAGAAAGCAAGTTTACCAGAATTACATTTATTAGAAGATTACACAGGGTCATGCATTGTGGTATAATTAGTGTGCTTTATTTATTTACATGAGTAAATATATTACCTGTGTTGTTGACAAATCAGCATCTATTTTGTTGCATATTTGAATCATAATACACATAGGCAAAGCAATTAGTGTCCTTATTTTGACAAAATACATAAGAGGGATTAGTTTGAACAGCCTCAGCTGGGTTGTCTTACAAGGATAACTTCCACTGTGTGTGTAACTCAGCCTCCTGAAATTGTAGCACATCCAGTGATTCACCTTCCTCTCTAAACACAGTTATGCAGACAAGGCCTTTTGCTTTTTCCTTGATGTTTTTATTTATGCTATTTTTCAGTGTCTGTACTACTAGGATAAATAAAAACACAAAAGCTCAGGGAATAACCCTTGCCAACTGATCTCATTTATTATCAATGGAGCCACAAGGCAGTTATTGCAAAATCATAACACTTCACTGTTCAAACACACACAATTTTATGGCGCTCCAACTGAATTTTGCTCCTGCCACTTACTATAGGACATTATCTTAAAGAGAGACTTGCAGCTGGTATTGATGACAGGCAACATGACATTGGTCACCTATCTTCTTGGGCAATTATCCAGGTGCAAACAGAAGTTATTACAGTGCTCATTTAGTGGGGAGGGATAAGGTAACTGCTATTTGTGAGTAGAAAAAAAAAGGGCTTTGGACTTGATTTTGCATGCATGAAATTTCCAACAGGTCTTAGAACTAATGTAAACTAACTCTCCTCAGAGATGGCAATTGCCACCACCTCTGCTAGGAATTAGAGAGGCACAAGTAGTCCCCACATTCTATTTTTCAAAATAGCAAACAAACTAGGAATGGCAGAAATCGGTAATTAATTTGTTGTGCACCTGCTTTGAGATTTATACTACAGAGTGCCTAGGCAAATAATGGAGCTGCCAACCTCAGAACTTTCCGTATCACTATTGTTTATAAACATCTCTAAGTTTTAGGGGCCCTTTTAAAGGAATCATTCAAAAGATACACTCAGAGGTCAGTGAAATGCTGTGATTGCTTAAGAGGACTAGCAAGTGTTCAGCAGTATGCAGCATTTGTCAGGACTGACTTGTGCATTACCTATTTTTTTAGTTGAACAGAACAGCTGCAATGTAACTAGTAAACAAATTTTAAGGATTGTTTAATTATGAAAGGAGCTTCCCTTGGGAATATTCTTATCTAGAAGGCATCTGAGGGGCAGATGAGTATCCATATGACATCTTCTAGCATATGAAGTAGGGTTTTTGAAGATCTCTGCCTTCAGGTCACTGTTTAATAGAGAAATGATCAGCAGCTATAGTTCTGTTGAATCATAGCTGTTTTGTTGACAGGACAGTGCTTATTTTCTAACCACTCTCCAATAAAAAACTAAGAAATATCAAAGTATAAACTTCCGCTGCACTGAACATGCCTTTATTAGAACTGCAAAGTATAACCCAATAACCCAATTGGGAGTAGCTTTTGATCATATTTGAACAATGCTCTGGAGTACAGTGGTGACTACATGACAAATAAGCCCTGAACCTTAGAAGATACTAAACAGTAAATGCTGTCACCTTGTTAAATCATGAAAAAAATATTATTACATATATATATGAAGTTAAAATATTTCACTCTATAGTGTCCTAAACAAGCATTTCAGTTAAAGATGAAGCTGTTAGTGTAGCTAGGCTGAAATTAAATCTAAAGTTAGTGTTTTGCCGTTATTTGGTAATTCACTTCTAGTGTGTTATATACAGAATTAATTTCCCTGCTAGGATGCCAGACAGTCATATTGCAACATTTACATTCCCCGTAAAAAAAAAGGTGTAATGTACATTTTCAGCTTGGTGCAGGTATATAAATATGTACAAAATAAACATTATTGTAGTTAATATTCAGAACAAGTATTACTTAGCAACATCAAAAGCAGATGCACATAAATTTGTCAGAACAATCAAAAAATCTTTTATGGCATTAGTGACCAGTATTTGCATTTATAAAGTAACACAGATAAAGGCTTCTGTTAAGTCTCCTGTGGGCATCCAACCAATAACTTTAACAAAGACAAAAATAACCAAGAAGCATAGAAATATATATATATATATCATGATTAGATGGCTTGCTATCATCCATCTTGATTGCTAATGGATAGCAATGTAAAACATACACATTTGTTCAGAGCATAAAATATTGCACAAGAGCAATTTCTTTTGAAAAAATAGGTTTTGCTGTGTTTGCAAACAGCAAAAATGCTATGCATTAAGGAATTTTCTATTTGCATTTTTTGAAACAAGGAACATTCAGTAATACTGTTACAACTGTCATCCGTCAGCTTAGCCTGTTCTATGGCAATGGCATGTCATCAGCAAGATTTGGCAAAGAGACAAGGCAGACAGGTAGTATGCGTAACTAGTGCAGGCTAGACAAGATCCAATAGCTACCTAACCCAACTGCTGGATACTTTCAAGTTTTCTGACAGTTTAACCCTTAAAGAAATATGAAAGCCTTCAATTCTAGTCACAGTGAGGATCACACAGTAGTAGAGTAAGACTCTATTCTTCTCTGCTTGGAAATAACTTCGCTTGAACTCCCAGTTTGGAGGGTGCTTTCCTCAATATCACTGTCACTGCTGTCTACAATTGTTGGATCCAAAGCCATCTGAGCAGTCCTTCTACACAGGTGAAAGTTCACCCCACTCTCCTGTATGGAGTTAGTTATAAAATCTTCATCAGAAGAATGAAATGATTCATCATCTCCTGTGAAATGGTTGACAATGTGAATCCCATCAAAAGTGGGTTGGTCTGGTAAGTCTCTCTGGCCTTTTAGGCATTTGATCTGTTAAAAGGGAAAAGGAGTTATGCAGTTAATCACAACTGAAGACTAACATTAGAAATAAAAACATTTCAAAAAAAAAGTATGTCTGAGCATTTAATGATTTAAATGAAACGACAGATTTAGAAGGAGCACATTTGATATCACTTGAAGATGCAGCTGGAATCAGAACTGCCAAAATGACTTCTCATTTCTGGTTGCCAAACAGAGGCCTTGAAAGGAGGTCTTTAAATAGTCCTTAACACCTTCCAAATTATCTTTCCACTCCCAGAGTATTTAAGCATGAAACCTTAAAAGTCAAGGTACCCAGAAACACCAAGGACAATTTCCTCTAGGCTATTTGCTACATCTTTAACATCCCCATGAGGATGGCTTAGGCAGTTGCTTTTTCTACAGTAGCCTTTGTTTTGTCAGTGCTTTTGACCTTCATGTCTTAGGTTTTACAGCTCCATTCCTTCCTTTAGCTTATCACCTCCCCTTCTCACTTGATAAAAAGCTTTCCTCATCCTCCAAGGAACCCCCCAACCAAATATTGCTGTTTCTTACAGCCAGAGAAAATCAACACTGAAAAGAAATACTTAGTCCTGTCTACACTGCAAGATCAAGTGTCTTCATGATCTGATTCAGCACAGATAAGATTCCAGATCGCAAGGTAAGAGAAACTTACAACTTCTCTCCATACACCATAAATAGACCATCTTTAATTCTAAGAGAATATTAAACAAAAATAATCATCAGACCATGTATAAACATGCTTAACTTCAAATGCATTGTGCTGGAGTGATAAACTATTCTAACTGTGTTCAAGTTACTAATAAGTAAAAACTAAAGCTTTCAAGACTTGCAAGTCTCCTATTTAGTGAAAATAACTGTAATTCTCTGAAGACATAATTGAAGTTATTTCCTAGAATTCCATCTTTGCTATCTTATAGTAGCGATTATGTTGGAGCCAGTTTGACAGTTTGAGAGCACGGAATGATAAAAACTCTATGCATGTAGAAAGGCATTGAATGCTTTACAGAAAATTCCTCAAGCTACTGTGGGAGCTTCAAAAAGAAAAATGCACCAAATATTACTTTGTAAGCAGTTCCTGACAGTAACAAGAATGTAGAAAATAGCAAGAAAAAAAAACTGTTATTTGCATCAAAAATGCATTTGAGGTTTCTAAGATCTGAAAAGATTCACTTTGATAAATTGTGCATATAGGTCCTTGTTAATGACACCAAAGTTTTACCTGTTCATCTAGAGAAGAAATACTTTCTTCTCTAGATACTTTCTGTACTTTCTGTGGGCTTCTATAAAAGATGAGAAGAAAAACATAAGATTCATAATCATGCTAAAAGCCTTCAAATCAGATGTTAACAGCATGTAAAAGCTGCGGGGATTACATGACTTTTAAACTACATCAATGTCCATGTTAGGGATATTGGTACCTGCTGTAAAACTAGAGCTTTACTTTGAGTACTTGTACTAAAGCTGGTCTTTGCATTTTCTTCTCATACACATGGCTGCAGTTGTTTCAGGAGGAGTTTGCTCATGTAAAGGCAAAAAAATGTATAGGCAAGCAAAAGAAGTCCCATGCTTACATAATTCAGGATGTAAGTGAAATTTATTCATGTCATGTTGTACAGTGGACAGCAATATGCATCTAAAATATGCAATCCTTAGAAATATATGTATCTAGATATAGAAGGCCTGATAGTCTTGTGCATTAGTATTTAGAAATAATCTTTAAAATAGTCCTGTAATACCAGTCAGATAGTTACCACATGGAGTTTCAATTAAAAAAAAAAAAAAAGAAAAAAAACTCCAGAAAAACAAATCAACAACTACTCCCAACCACTACTGCATGAAAAGCCCCTCCAAACAAGTGACTACAGTTTTCTATAAATAAGTAAGAAATCATGTGCTTTTCAGGTCTGTAGAGCTAACCATTGGTTTACTTTAACTACAAAAGGTATCCAAAAAACTACAAAACTACTCCAACCTACCAAAAAAACCCAAATCTATCACCAGCATATTACTTGAATATGAAAGAAAGCTTCAAGTAAAGCATCATGCCAAGACCTTTTTGTTAATTTAGCTAGGCATATCAAAGTCATTGAAAGCCTGAGCAAGTGCACAGAGAAAAAAAAAGTTGTTTCCCCTACTGCTCCCCACCTTTTCTTCCTTTGTGTCCTTAACAGCAAAGTTACGCCACCTCCAGGAAAAAAAAAATGGCTTTTTTCTTGCAGCAATCTCAGCAGAATATGGACTTACACCACAGGTGCACACCACTTTTCTTTTGTGAAAGAACCAACTAGTTAAAGTTTTTCAGCGTTGGGTCTGCCAGTCCTTTGTATGAAAGAAACTAGACCTCTCTTAACCCCTAATGAGTGGTGTTCAACTGAATCTCTGCTGTTTCCTAATGCTTCAGTTTTGCAAGAATCTCAGAACTGATCAGGTCTGTAAAAAAGATAGGCCTAGTAAACCCCCATGTTTTGCTTTTAAATCTCAAGTCAAAGTTGTTCTGGTCTAGATGACTAGCTTTAATCCAGTTTTTACCCCACATGGTAGTGTGTCTCTAATCACATAGTCCTAAGGACATTTCCAAGAGTTAGTAACAGTGTCCAACCAAAATGTAGTTCATTATCATCCCTTAAAAAGCTGTCTGGATCAAGGACAAAAATCATTAAGATTGTTTCCCCCCTCCTTTTTTAAAAAAAAGTTTTTCTTGTAGCTAGAGAACTAACTACTTTAAAGACAAATTTTATGTCCTATTTCAACATATGAGAATTATATATACTCTTTAAAGGATAACAGCATACTTTCACAATTTCAGACAAGCTGAGAAAAGCTGGAAGGAGTATTAACAGCCAGGTCCTTGGAGCTCAAAATAAACTTTCTTACCTGATGTTGACTACCTCATCAAGACAGGCATGAAGGAGAAAGAGTAAAGAAAAATTTAGAGCTTTTAACACAGTTCAAGTCTTCTTTCATGTTAAGTGAAGGATGGCAGTGAGTTACAAGCAAATTATATTTCTAAGCCCCTCTGATTCTTAAATATAGAGCATCAGTGAAATTTTAAAGTAGGACTATGTGATAAGGAGTTCTACATAAATTCTAGGAGACATTCTGATATTGGAACCTGTGAGAGTTTTAGGAATGCAGTGGTTTTGATGTTTTGATGTTTTTCAAACATCAAATTGAAACATGTTAGTTTGTTTCCTTTTACAGGCTTCAGTGACAAATTCTTAAAATTTACCCACTTCTGAAGTAACGGGGAATGGTTTTAATTCCTGGCAATAAATATTAAACCTACTCACAGCTGGGTAACCACACAATACACAAGTGAGATCAAAATGAGATCAAAATGTAGAAGGATATCAATGAATAAAATTCACTAGTAGAAGATAGCATGGTAAATTGATACAAAAAAAAAGTTGCTGAATTTTGGTGATTCTCTTAAGCAGCAAAAAGTACTTAAAAATCAGAATCTCTTCTTTATACATCTCTACCTCAAAAATAGTAGTAAAACTTAGTAACATCTCTTGGTTATACAACAAATATGACTCAAAACTAAAACTTCGCTGAAAATACACTCCTAACCACATCTAGCCAAAGAGAAACAAATCATAAGCATTTTCAAATACCTGTCCTATAATCCAGTAAAACATTATCAACTTGGGAAGATCCAAAGAGATTTAGCTGCCAAGAAATTTAATTATAAAGTAAAAGCATCAGTTACATTTAAGATCTATTACATTAAACATGGATAAAAACAATGCAACTGGAATTCACGTAAGATTCTGATATTAACAATCCATAGTGTAAAATTGGATCCCATATACTTAATACAGTTGACCGCTACTCACTGTTGACCCTCATGTTGTGAGAAAGCACACTCCATTTTAAGACATACATTATCATGCTATCCCTTTAAAAGAAAAAACTTCCTAACAATGTCATTCAGATAAATGTTTATCTCTGAGAGAATGAAGCATTGCAATAGGAAGTAAGTCTCAACTCAACAGGTGACTGTATTAAATACAGTATGTATCGTAACACAAACTATTCTGCAGATCCACTCAAAAAAATGAACAAAAAATAAGGTTACAGGTCTATACTACTTACTATACTACTATTTCGTTTCCATGAATGGAAAAAACATCCTTAGAAATTAAATTTAAAAACAAGCTTCAGAAAGCTTATTAAAGTTGCACTTCCATAGCAAACCATATTCATATCGAAACCATCACAACATGAGCTCTGCAGAAATGGAGACATCATGAACTAAACCTTGTAGCTATAGAAACTAACATTAGCAGTCCATCACTTAAAGCAATCTTTAGCAAACTTTAATGTTTGTGCTGCAAAGGGAACTTTGGAAAGTTCCCCAAGCAACCTCTTAATTATTCATCTTTCTTATATTGAGGAGACTGCTAGATGTGTTTTGTGAGAGAGCTATATTAAAGCATTTTCACAAAAATTGTATTGTTTATTGCTCTTTGAAAATTCTGAAATAAAATAGGAAAATTATGACTTAATATAAGTGATAATCCTAAAGAAAAAAGAATAATGTAAAGGAACTTAAAAGTCATCTCATTTGCTTCAATCGTGAGGCAGATTTTACTCAAATATGTGAATCATTCAAATATGTGAAGATAAGAGAATGGTGTTTTGAGAACTTCCTGTCAATTTGTATAGCTCTCAAGATCCGTGAAGTCAGTCAACAGTTGTAAGACAACATTCTCTGAAGAAACCAAGTGACACATTTTCTAAATAAACTTATAATTGCAATCGCAACACATTTTTGGTTTAACAAACTAGACTATTGGAACAAAGCTCAAGGTTGTGGCTTTTATTTCAGTAATGGCGAATTTCCTGTTTTACTTCAGAAAAAAATCTAATATTAACTCTACACCATGGCTATAGATACAATCTTAATTTGGATTGTTAGTTCATAATTAACAGCTATAAGCAATACATACCGCTAATTATGATGTTTCAAAAGACCCAAATCAAACAGACTGTAACATTGGTGCTGAATCTAAAACTCCTATTTACCCAGCTTGTTCCAATTGCCTGATAACCCCTGTCCTTTCTGTGGTCTTGCTGCTTGGAAGACAGTGTCCAAAAATGACTGTGGACATGTCCATTTGTAAGACAGAGATGGCCTTTCCCATATCTCAAACAATTTTGTTTTCTACAATGCAGTATTTATGCACAGATTTAAGAACTGAAGGAATTGGAGTATTACTGTAGGCCTCGAGATCTGCATTATGTTTGTCTTACCTATATATATTTGCCTCAAAGCACAAGAGATCTGCAATAATCTTTAGAGATCTGCTTAATAGAGGAATCCAGAAAAAAGGCTACATCTTCATTTGTTGCTTTCAGCCAATTCTTTATTAATAAAATTAAGATTAAAGCTGTTACAAACTCTTTCAGAACAAATTTGAGTCATCTCAGATTTTCTAAAGAAATTCTTCAGGCTAAGGTCTGACTCACTAATTTTGAAATGGATAGAATAGACAGTTAATTCTCTAGAATGTCATGCTGCTTTATTTACTGTACCTTTCCCTGAGATACCATAATGTCAAAATTAAGAAAAAAAAGTACACATCTCTAGTGGTTGAAAAGCAAGCTGTTCAGCACTTTCCGACTTACTCTTGGAGACGCACTGACATAAGAAGGAAAGTGAATGCATTTAGAAGGAAAAACTGAAAAATTAGTTCAGGGAAATGTTAGCACAACACTAACATGGACAAAACCACTTCCCCTTGTAATTCATCTAACCAACACATATTAAAGTGAGCCTGAGGTATTAAAATATTGGTGAGAGGAAGAAGTTTTCACAATTAATATGGGCACATAGGAATCACACTACATAGTTTTAGGATTTGCTCTTGCTTCCCTCTGCTATGAGTGATTTTTACAATGCAGGGCCAAAAATTCTAATCAGACTATTTAATTAAGAAATAGTGCAAGACTAAAGCAAAAATGAGGCAAATGAAAATTGTTGCTTAAATATCTGGTGCATTAGGCACCGTTGCTTAAGATAACAGGAAATGCCTTGATCATGTGTACCCATAGTGTGCAGTAACAGCCATTCACAGTTTGTTTGTGCAAAATTGTTTCCATTAAGTAGTTAACAAACCATTACTACACACTTCATTTGTTGCAGGTGATTTTTTAAAAAATATATAAATACTACACATACAGCTTATATACGTATATAAACTGTAGCTTTTTCTTAAGTATACTTTGAATGCAGAAATTTGCTTCCTCATCTAAAAATTCACTAAGAAGTTTTCCAGATACTGCAGTGATTTTTAGAAAGTCCAGCAGTGCAATTTGAAATGAAGTTGTTGATGGAAGCCAATCATTGCAGCAAGAACCAAACTGTATTCTAGCACACTAGGTATCGTGAACCTTCCTCTGTACATTTAGCCATTTATTTGAGGCAGTTTGGCATGACTCAAGTGGGAATCCCTCAAAATCAACAACAAACCTGGTAAAAAGTCAGTGATTACAGATTTGTTAAATGACTTAAAGAAAAACACATAGAAAAACAATTCTCTAATGTATATGGATGAGGTCAGATTTAATAGTTGCATCTTTGCTTTCTGCTAGCATTCTCCTACTCCCCATCACAGTCTCCAAAAATTCTGTGTGCATACCAACATGAAATCAGTTGACAAATTCTTAGAGGACCTGATAGAGTTTGGTTCTTCCTTTTGAGATATAATAAATGGTTCTCAGAGGAAAATCTGTTTGATATGTTAGGGTTTATAGGATGAGAAGTAGATAGAAGTTACTTAATTTTATATTACTTTCAGTATTTCAGAAATATTCGAAGACATCAGATTTTCAGTATAACTGTATATGAATTAGATCTAAGTACATAATGGCAGGAAGACTCCAGATCTGTCCATATCCAGTTCTTGTCTCCAGGCTTTCATACGTGTCTGAACTTCTTGATCCACATTGTTTTAAAGGAGCACAACTGTTTCTGGAGTTCATAAATTGAATTCAGGCTAACACATAAAGATCTATCAATTTGTTACAGCAAATACAGCAAAAATGCTCTAAAACGGGCAACAGCAGCAGCTGACTGGGGCCAGAGCACACTTAAATGTCCTGGCCTGGGGGCCCCAAGCCACAACATCAGTGAGCGGCAACAACCAGGATTTTCAGCTCCATCAGTATCACTGCTTTTCTTAAAGCAAAAACCCAAAGAGTCTCTGGCCTGAGATTTTTTTTTCAACCATGCACAGCCAGATTAAAAAGAACAGCTATGAGATACTATAACACTATACTATAATGGAAAAGATTGATCAGTTAATTCTTCAAGATCCAAGTTTGTGTGTGATACAATTCTCTAAACAGGAGAACTTGAGCAAGTAAGCTTTAAAAGCAGAGCAACATAACAGCACAAATTTATCTTGAATGAACTGTGCTGACCATATCACTTGACAGAGTTCAAACCATTACAGTGGGTCATAAGTGAACAGCAACAGCAGCAAGAAATTTCCATGACTGAGTCATTTCATGCCTATTTCTCACAGCACTTAAATATTTGGCATCTGTGTTTTATATTGTTAGGCTCTGTAAGTCATATGCAGTCTCAAAGTAATACAAAATGTTTTACAAAGACTCTATAGATGCCAGCAAGTTTGAATCAGGCAATACAATCTTTAAGGCCTGCTCCCCCCACCCCCTCAAAAAGAAAAAGCTTCTAATTGCCCGTCTGTGTTCTTCAGATTGCTCTAAGGGTGGGTTTTTTGGTTTTTGTTTTGAGTTTTTTTTTTTAAATAACTACAAAGTGGTTTTACAATATTATCAGTTAAAGAGCTCTTGAGGCAAAAGGAAATAAGATGTTAAATGTATGTTGCATATCAGTTTTACCAAAGACAAGTCT